GACTAGCGTAAAATTTAGGTTCTATTAGGCGGCAAGCTTAGAATAAGCCGAATTGAGAGAAGAGGAGAAACTTACAGCTAAGTTGTTTGCTTTCTTCGTATCATTTATTGTTATTGTTACTGTTGTTTCCAAATAGCATTGACACACTTTTAATTGCACTCACATTAAAATAACTTTTTTTTTTTAAATTTATTTTTCTAAAAAGAAACAAAGCCCAAGCAGAAGAAGAGGAAGGCGAAGGAAACAGAGTAGAAGTGGAGAGAAAAAAGTGTCTATGATACTTGTCTACAAATGTGCACAAATTTGGTTTATTGCCACTAAAATTCTTAATCTACATTCACGTTAGTGATCTTTGAACAGTAAACATTTACTACATATACAAAATAAGTAAATTGGTACTTTTTTGAAGCGTAATATTTTTTTAACACAAAAAAAAGCATCAAAACAAGAACTGTATCTTTCACTCATTGTATTCTTTGAAATTATTCATTTACGAATAGTGTTTGCATATATAGTAAAATAATGATAAGCAACGAATCAATTGTATTTGAAAAAATACATCTCAAAAAGTTTCACCTTTCTATTATTTACTAATAACAGTAATACAGCAAAACAAATGTAAATTTTGTGACCAATTTACCAGTCATCATTGCGCATATTCTCATCGAAAACAGATATTGTATCAAATAAACTGAAAGAAAGCAATAAATTATATCGTAGCAAACAGAATTTATTAGAGAATATTTCAAATTGACAACATTTTTTGAAAATGTTTACTCTTCAGATCTATTTTTGCATTTATGGTTTAGAAGCACTTAACAAATTTTACCCTGTTAATCCTACTGAACAATCAGATCCACAAAACTAATAAAACTTGTTACAACTGTGATTGCAGTTTTCTTTCCTAAAACTACTTTAAAGCTGTTTCAGAAGTTTAGTCTCCGGTCTCAGTGGCAGGTACCTTTCCTTACAAAGGAAACGCTGAAAGATAGTCACAGCATTACGTTGATTGCAATCTGTACATATTGCAAAGGCTTTTCCGGTTGAAGGCCAAAGCCTACAGCAACTAGGGGGAAAAATTCAAACTTGTTCTCAGCAGCCGTTGCAAAGCATCCTTTGCAGCTTGGAAAAAATTTCAAAGAAATTAATGACTGTTAATTTGAACTGGAGGAGTGAAAAACAGAAATAAAGTAAAAATCATTTCTTGGGAGGATACTGCAACAGTATATGCAAGAGTAAAATGGCGTATTTGAATACAGAAACACGAATGTTGTTGAGGGTAACCATAACTTAGTTTATTCACCTTGGCAAGTGAACATTAAGACTGATCATGAATCGTAAAAATTTCTTACACAAATTCTAACTAGAGTAGAAAAAGCACAAAATATCATATAAATACGTGTTTAGCGTTTGGAATGGATAAACATTGTGACAAAACAGCATCTCTTCTGTCTTTGTATGCTTATTGTAAGAGTAGTGTGAAGTAATTTGGCAAAAGATTTACAGGCTTATCCAGCGCGATGTTGTCAACGTTAGAATATGCTTCTCGATGATTACTGCTTGATCGTTTCCAACTATAAGTTTCTGAATATACTGTTTATTTAAACGTCTTTGTCACAGAGAGTGCGGGAAAATAAATCTAATAAGTCCAAGTGCAAATAATAGCAAGATGTAAGACGTAAGCTTGAGTCTTTGTTCAGTACCATGAGCTTTGCTCAGTTCTGAAAAGGAAAGAGAGATCCATTAAAAGTGAAGAACAACCCCGTGTTTGTAAACTTTTTGTTAATTAAAGACAAGTAAGAAAGGTTCTAAAGCATTGCACTATTCCGCAAAAATATCAAAAAAAAAATGCGGTACTGCGAACCAGTATCGTTAGCAACTATTTTTATCTAAACTGAGAACGGTGTAAGGATCAAACAGCAAAAATTCTAACAGAGGTAAAAAATTTACACGAAAAACAGTCCTTCTGAAACTGAACAGTCAC